AAATAATGAAGAACAACTTCCCCAATCTAGCAAAGAAAGTCCAGGAAGCCCAGAGTCCCAAAGAAGTTGGACACAAGGAAGCACACACCAAGGCACATCATAATTATATTACCCAAGGTTAAAGATAAGGAGAGAATCTTAAAAAGCTAGAGAAAAGGACAGTTACCCAGAAAGGGGTCCCTATTAGACTATCAGCTGATTTCTCAAAAGAAACCTTGCAGGCAAGAAGGGGATGGAAAGAAGTGTTCAAAGTCATGAAAGACAAGGACCTACATTCAAGCTTATTCTATCCCACAAAACTATCATTTAGAATGGAAGGGCAGACAGATCAAGTTAAAGGAGTTCATCATCACCAAGCTCTTAGAATATGAAATATTAAATGTTGGGAACCACCCTGACTGGTATCAGAAGCTGAAACCCCCTCCTAGGCTAAAGCTAAGGGAACGCCCTTGGAACCGTGAGCCAGCAAGGTGACAAAAGCTTATCTTCCTGGCAGGAATGCTGCTTCTGCTGCTTTATTCATAACTGAACCCCAAAAAGCTTGGTCGGTTAGCCAAAGACGGGTAAGATTCCCCATGGGGGGAATGACCTAAGCCAGGCACGATCACTTTGGGAGGCCCCCCCCAAAAGAAGGACTTGGGGGGGGGGCTGCAGCAAAAGGGGGGGTGATGGACCCTCGCTCCTCGGCTTTGACATAGCCTGAGTTCTCAGCATCTGGGAAAAAAACCTCCTTGTCTCCCAGTTGCCTTAGTTCCCTTGCTCCACCTAAGCCTGAAACAATGACAGGGTGGTGTAGCTCTGTACTGAGAAGTGCGGATTCCCCAGGGTGATCAGGCCTAAGAAAGAATATGTAAATTACTGTGAAACCTCCTTTGTTTAGAATGCTCTCAGTTGAATGAGAAGGGTCTTAGGAGGAAGTTATTTTGTTCCTCAGTCTTACAGCTCTTTGACCCCGACTCAATAGACCGGCAGAGTTCTTTGTTTTCTATGGTTCCTTACTTCCCCCAATTAGTACTGTACTTTACCTGAATTATTATGCAGAATGAGCCCAATAAAAGCAGGTATGGACTGTAAATCGGCACACTCCCCACTGGGGGGGTGGCCATTTTGTCCCTACTTCCCCACAGAAACTAGTCTGTCTCTGTGCATGTGTTGTTTTTTCTCGCGTGTTTATCATCGAGCCATCCACAGCGTTCCGTGGTCACTGCTGGCCGGTGACCCACGCGCAACAGTTAAAGGGACTTATCTAAGAAAAAGAAGGTCAAAACTATGAACAGTGAAATGACAACAAATTCACAACTATCAACAACTGAACGTAAAACAAAAACAAACTAAGCAAACAACTAGAACAGGAATAGAATCACAGAAATGGAGATCAAATAGAAGGTTATCAGTGGAGAGGGGGAGGGGGAGAGTAAGGGAAAAGGTACAGGGAATAGGAAGCATAAATGGTATGTACAAAATAGACAGTGGGGAGTTAAGAATATTATAGGAAGTTAGGAAGCCAAAGAGCTTATACTAATGACTCATCAACATGAACTAAAGTGGGGGATGTGGGTGGGAGGGGGCATGCAGGGCAGAGGAGAAGAAAGGGCAGAAAAAATGGAACAACTGTAATAGCATAATCAATAAAATAGACTTTTCAAAAAGTGTTTAAAAAACAGGGGGAGGCTTTTCATTGTTTAGAATAGAATGAGAAAAGGCAACTGTGAAGCATAAAAGGGCATGAGCCCTATCTTTTCTACCACTTCCATATGTATGTTCCCTAACAACAGATGAAGAAAGAAGCAGTATTCAACTGAGTGGAGTGGTCAAGCTTTGATTCAAGGGGCTATATGAGACTATTTTCTCTTTTTCCAGGAAAAACTACATACTATAACCAGTTTTAACTGGAGCTCATCAAAAGCACATAAATAGCACATACTTCTGATTGAAAAGGAAAAAAAAACAGGTCTTAGTGCTTTCAGTATTGTCCAATACTGTGCTTACAGTATTTGAGACATTGTCCTGGCTGAGTTAAAAGATTTTTGCAGATGATATTTTCTTGTATATTTTTAACATAAAATATAAAACCCTGCCCATGCAAACAGAGACAGAAACTCTAAAGACATATGCAGAGATGTCTGGTCCTTCCCACTGCTCAGTCCAAGCTGAGGTGAGGAGGGAGCACTGCACATGAAGAAAAGCCAAAGCAGGAAGGGAACGTCTAGTCATCAGTCAAATCAACTCTACAAATAGTTACTCCCTTGAGTGGGCAAAAAAATATGCCAATTAGTATTTTCTAAAGGTTGACAACTCAGGGCCTTTTGATAATAAATAGAACCAAACATGTTCTTAAAGTTGTAAAAATAAAAAGCAACATTACTCAAAGGAAGACATTGACTCAATAAGCCAACAAACCTAAAATATTTCCCTTACTCCCTTGTACTTCTGTGCCCACTAGTCTCTGTCTCTCCTTCAGCTCTGAGTCTGTATATGCTAAACTAACACATCTTGTGCCTTCCCATGGGCTTTATTATTTTTATACTTTCTTTTTTGTTCAAATTTTTGGGATAAGTTTCCCCACCAGTTGGTATAGTTAGAAGAGTAGGAAATTTTAAAACAGCAGATTTAGGCCTACAATCTAGAACCACACACCACAATGAGAAAGTTAATTCCAACAACTTTTGTCCATTTATTGAAGCACATCACAAGGACAGGTTAGATCAACCTAATCCCGTTTTGTTTTTTAAAGCAATGTTAGTCATCTAACATTTTAGTACAATATTATTTATTACTTCCTCAGTCTTCAGCACGTAAACAATGTTCTGAAAGTGTTTCGTACCTTTAGTGGAGACACTGTCTGTGCCCTGCATGTATCACCTCACCCACACCACTTCAGTGGACAACCTAACATCTGACATCCACCAGGACCTGCATTTCTTTGCCTGTGTGTCTTCTCCTTGACACTGGAAGCAGCTTTTCCCACCCTTATGCCAGAGCAGAACAACCAAGGAATTCATGGACCCCAGGAGCAGCTCTTCACCAATGAACTTCTTTCTTGGGGGGGCATATATCTGAGGAATTATCAACAGTCCCCAGGAATAGGAACTAGTCACCTGTGGTGGTGCTTTGCTTTTAATGTGCCCTTTACTCTCTACCTTCTATGCCTTGTGTCACCGCCCCCCCCTTCACAGTGTTCCCTTCACCCACAATCTGCATTCAAACTCTTATGTCAGGGACTGCATCTAAAGAAACCCAAACTAAAACATAAGCAAATCATTTCCCAACTCTCTGGGGGAACATCAGCCAGTCTCAACGAGGTGAATCTATACTGGAATGCCTGGGTTCTCTCACTCTGGGTTCTATTGTTCTGGGTTCTACTGCTCTGGGTTCTACTGCCCACCACCGATAAGAACTGTGAATCCCAATGCCAGATTTTATGAAAAGGAAAGGAACTATTTATTTAAAAGTTACACAGATTTAGAATGATGGCAGAATTTTGCCATCAAATCCCTCTCACTTTAGAAACAAAGAAATACCCACAAACACATACTCGTACCCTTCTGGTCAAACCAGACCAGTCAGAGGTACCGTCTCTCAGGAAAAGAAATTGAAGTCTGTAGCTTAGCTGGGCAGATTCCTGTCTGTATTCTGGTTTATCCAATTGTCCATGCTCGGCTAGCTAGGCTCCTGCCCTTAATTCAAAACCACATCCTCATGGTGGGCCAGGGAACCCTTCTGCATCCTTTCAAACCTTGTGGCCAAGACCCCTCACTACTGCTACATGGTCGAGAGGCTTCTCCTTCCTGAGCCACACTGTCAAGAATGCAATGGTTGTCCCACACCTGGGTTTAAATTCCAGCATGGATCTTCCTCTGTAACCCCATTTTTAACTCTTCCCATGCTGAGTTACACCTACCAGTAGTCTGGTTTCCCCTGCCTTTCTCCACACCTTTGGTAGTCTGGGCAGGCCTGGCAGTGACAAAGAGCTAACTGCCTTCCTGCTCTCCTGCAGGTGCAGGAAGCCCCTCAGGCTACATGGCATCCTGGGTTGGAGTCACACCCATCTCTTTGGGTCTGAGGGGCACAGTCACTTAACATTACTAAAACACTGGCCAGGTTCTTCAGATATGCAAAGTAACCCTCAATAGCCCTGCTCCACTTCTCTCATGCCCCAAGAAATAGTTGTGGGGGCTTTGGGACTTAGGAGAGAACCTCTAGCTCAGCAATGAGTTACAAATCCTCTTCATGTATATTTTCCAGGGAGGAACCATGTGAATAAAGCTGCAGTGACAAATGAAGAAAACAGGAGTGGTAGCAGTGCTTCACATTTCTGCGTCTGCTTCCTCCCATGTTCGGCACACCTGACTTATCTAATCAGGGCACCTTTGGGCACGATGATATAGAAAAGCCCCAAGCTGGAAATTAAGATGAAAAAGTGCTGAGAAACAAAGGCCATGGCTATCCCACCACTGTAGTTATAACTGGCCATGCTCACTTACTGATCAGCTTTGCTTCTTCATTTGTTAGTTTGTCATTTAAGATGCCAGTGAATTATGAAAAGATTATATTCTTTCCAGGCCATTATGATGATGCTACTTTTTTCCCTAACTATAGAAAACTAAAAATTAGATTGAAATTAGAATGAATTTAGTTGACTTTCTAGAATCTCCAGCAGTGAGCTATACATCAATTGTGATAAAAGTGTATTTCTTCCATCTGACTCATGCATCATACTGTTGTTTGGGGGGGGTGGTAAATATATTATCTTTCCAAATAGTTTTGCAGCTGAGTTTAATAGACTTTACACAAAGTGTATTGGCTTCCAAAAGTAAGGTGTCTATGTGTCACGACTACTACTGTTAGCCTCTGAGCTGTTCCATACTTACCATCTTCTCCACATTAAGTGCCATTACACAGTACCATATAGAGTAGTTATTTGCTGTGGAAAGTCACTTTCCTTTTGTATACAGATTGCAAATTAGGTTTAGGCAAATGAAAAGAAGCAAAACATTAGCTTATTGAGAGAAACAATTAATCATCTATTTTCATTGCTTTGGGGAAAACAAACAAGCTCTGAATTAAGGAGACATTATTTGGTTGAAAAAAGTGTAAAGATGGTAAATTAGTGTTTCCATTGTTTTTGTTGTCTGTAGTCTTCATTGGTCAAAGGGAAGAGCCATACATTTACAAATGAATGCTGTGAACTTTTAGGACAAGAGCATCATACCCTTTGTGAACTATCCGAGTGAAAAAAGACATTGTCATGAGAGAAGAGTAAAGACAGAAAGGAACTTCAAAGGCTTGTAGCCCCTTTGCTGTTCTCTCTGTGTTTTGGTATACTCAGTAATGTAAAGAAAGCAGAAGCACAGAGCCTGGGATAAAACAAGAAAACAGGCAGATTATAGCAACAAGGTGAAGGGGCAAAGAATCCACTGTCACGAGAACCTCACAGTGCATAATTGCAGTTTAAGGGGTTAGTCAAATGCTTGGCCTATGGAAATTTAATATGTTATGGCTCATCTGAATTTAGATGGCCCCAAGCTGCGATAATCAACTTTTCAATGTCAGACTCATTTACTCCTCGAAGAATCCTGAAATAGCCATTCTCTCCCCATGACTTTCCCCAGGAATTGGCAGCAATCTGCAAAAAAAAGCAAAAAAATGTAAAAGCTGAGTATCATACTTTGATTATTTTTACATTTTGCCTGTAAAAACAAAGGAGACTCATAGGTACATTTAAAGACTATTAGACTTATTGTAGTTTAATTAAGAACTTGAGCATAAATTAACCAGATTTTTTAAAAGGAGCAAGGGGGATTCAGGTAAAAGGAAAAAGAGGATAAAGACCAAAGCATGAAGCAATATAAAGCATTGAAATGAAACGAGGTTATGAGGCTATAATATCAGGTTAGGAACTCTATCCTGAAAAAAATAGTGAAAATAATGTCAAGTTTTAGTGTTGCTTTTAGCATGAGAGCAATCTGGACCAAAAAAAAAAAAAAAACCCAAACGTATTTTGATTGCATTACTTTGTAGAAAATGAGATGAATGGATTTAAGAAGGTTGACTCACAAAAAAGGGAAACTATCTCCTAAACTTGTTATAATTAAGGGGCAGGGGAAATAGAGTGATAGAGAAATGTCGAGAAAGTAAAATCAATGAGAATTAGAAATTTCCTTATTTCCATTAAATTTCCATTTTTTAATTTTTACTTTTTAAATATGAGATACAGAATGTCTCCTGGGTTTAGAGCTTGAGGGAGTAAGTGTGCAGAAAAGCAAAAGCATTAATTCAGTATATAAAAAACATGCAGGGCAAAAGGGCACACAGAAGGGAGTCAGCTGACCACAACTAAATGCAACAGAAAAGCCCAATAAGTTAACAACTGAAATTATTCACGGGATTTGGTAAATTAGGGACTTCACAACAACAGCTTCTACACTTACCTCACATTTATCCTACCCTGGGCCTAAGATGGAACATTTTCTCGGATGAGGTCTACACTGATGTTTTCAAGGCATATAATGTTGCAGTGAGCTTTTAGTGTTTTCTACCATGTAAGAGAGGGCAGGTTTACTCAGGATCAAATTGCTAACTTTAGGAAAACACTGGCCCTTGCTGGTGTGGCTCAGTTGGTTGGAGCATCATCCTGTACAATGAAAGGTTGTGGATTCGATTCCCCATCAGGGCACATACCTAGGTTGCAGGTTCCATCCCTGAGTCAGGGCATGTATGTGAGGCAACCAATCAATGTTTCTCTCTCAATCTCTCTCTCCCCCACCCCTCTCTCTTCCTCTCTGTAAAAGCAATGAAAAAAAAATGTCCCCTGGTGAGGATAAAAAGAAAAAAACTGATTCTCATCATTTCTTTTAAGATATGACTTTTTGGGCTTCTTTTTTTTCAGGCTTTGCTGAGATATAATTGAAATATAAAACATGTAAGTTTAAAGTATACAATGTGATTAGATACACATATATATTGTAAAATGATTACCACAATAGTTAGGTAACAGCTCTGTTTTTTCATGTTTATGACTTTTGTGTGTATGTGGTGATAACATTTAAGATCTACTGTTTTAGCGACTTTCAAATATATCAGAGGGGACCCCCCCAAAATGAATCTTCTTCTGGAAGACAGGACCCATGTAATGTAGGCTTCCCCCACTAGGTGAGTGTTCTAGGAATCCATCTATACCAGTGTACCAGCTTGCATTGTTATGAGACGCTGTGCTCAGTTTCAGTAAATTTTTTTAAGGCAATGCATTTGCTGATCTCATGATGGGTAATTTACGAGTGCACCTGCCCACACTGTGCTAAATGTTGAGCAATTTTAGACCAAAACACAGCATAAGCCCCATGCCCCACCCTCCCTATTCACCCAGTCTAGCCCCTGCGACTTTTTGTTTCCCCAATGAAAAAAGTCCTCACAGGGAAACGTTTTGCTGATGTGGAAAAGGTAAAACAAAACATGGCAGAAGTGGTAAAAGGTATCAAAATCGACGAGTTCAAAAACTGTTTTGAGTAGTGGAAAGAAGTCTTGATAGGTGTATTGCATCAAATGGAGAGTACTTTGAAGGTGACTGAAGTTTAAACATGTAAGAATAAATATACAATTCTTTATGAATAAATATGTTTATTGGGGACCCCCCTTTATAATACAGTAGTGACGATTACAGTTGCCATGTTGTGCATTAGAGCCCCAGATCTTATTCACCTGATGGGTAGGAGCTTGTGCCCTTTCTCCAACATCTCCCCATCACCCCTACTACCAAGACCCTGACAACATGCTCCTTGTTATTTCTATAAGTTCAGCTTTTAAAAATTCTGCATGTGAGAAATACAATATTTTTCTTTATCTGTCTGACATTTCACTTAGCATAATGTCCTCAAGGCCCATCCATGTTGTCACAAAAACAGGATTTTCTTCTTTAAGGCTGAATAATATTTTATTGTACAAAGTACAGAGTGTGGAAAAAGTAGGTTTATCATTATTTATATGGAAAATATAAAAAGTAATAAATAATAATACAACAATAAACTTTGTTTCACATACTCACAACTATAAACCCACTTTTACCCCACCTTGTATGCACCCCATCTTTTTAATCCACTCATCTACTGATGGACACTGAGGGTGTTTCCATGTCTTGGCCATCATGAATAATACTGCAGTAAGCTGGGGGGTATAGATATTTCTTCAATATTTTTTTGTCATTTCCTTTGAATATATAACAATAAGTGGGATTTTTGCATCACCATGTTTTTTTTTTAATTTATTGAGGAGCCTCCTTACTGTTTTTTATAGTGGCTACACTGATTTACATTCCCACCAACTATACACAAGGGTCACCTTTCTCCACATCCTCACTAGCAGGTTTCTCGTCTATATAGCAGCCATCCTAATAGGTGTGAGATGATATCTCAGTGTGATTTTGAGTTCCATTTCCCTGACTTTTAGTGATGCTGAGCACCTTTTCACATACCTGTTGGCCATTTTATGTCATCTTTTGAAAAATGTCTTTAAATCCTTTGCTGATTTTTTAATCAGATTGTTTCATTTTTTTGCTATTGAGCTATTTGAGTCCTTACAGATTTTAAATATTAACCTTTATCAGATATACAGTTTGTAAACATTTTTTTCCATTCAATAGATTGCCTTTTTATTTTGCTGATTGTTTCTTTGGTTGTACAGAAGCTTTGTAGTTTGATGTTGAATTTTGTATTTGTTGCTTCTGCTTTTAGTACCTTACCCAAAATATCTCTGCCAAGACCAATGACAAGGAGATTTTTTTTTCCATTTTCTTCTAGGAGTCTTACAGTTCCAGTCTTACAATTAAGTTTTTAACCCATTTCAAGTTTAATTTTTGTGGGTATTATAATATAGGGCTCCAAATTCATTCTTTTGTGTGTGGCCCTCTAGTTTTCCCAAAACCACTTATTGAAGAGACCATATTTTCCCCATGTATCTTCTTGACTTTCTTGTCAAGTGTTAGTTGGTCAGTGGGTCTATTTCTGGGCTCTCATTCTCTGCCATTGGACTATGTATATATTTTTATGCTACTATCACTCTGTTTTGAACAGCTTTATAACAATGCTTGAAATAAAAAAGAGTGATGTGTCCACCTCTGTTTCTCTTTCTCAGGATTATTTTGGATATTCAATGTCTTTTGTGGTTTTATATGAATTTTAGGATTGTTTTATCTATTTCTGTGGAAACTGTCATTGAAATTCTGATAGGGATGCATTGAATCTATAGATGCCATGGGTTGTATGGACATTTTAACAGTATTAATTCTTCCAATCCATGAACATGGGGTAGCCTTTTGTTTATTTGCTGCTTCTTCAATTTCTTATAATTTTTAGTACAACTCCTTGGTTAAATTTAGTCCTAAGTATCTATTTATACTATTGTAACTAGGATTTTTTTATGATTTCTTTTTTAGATACCTTGTTGTTAATGTGTACAAACGTAACTGATTTTTGCATATTTATTTTGTATCTTGCAACTTTACTGAACTTATTTACTAGTTATAATAGTTTTTTGATGAAGTCGTCAGGGTTTTCTAGATATAATATCATATCACGTGCAAACAGAGACAGCTTCATTTCTTGCTTTCCAATTTAGATGATTTTTATTTCTTTTCCTTGCCTAATTGCTCTGGTTAGGATTTCCAGTTCTACTTTGATTAGGGGAAGTAAGAGTAGGCATCTTTGTTTTGTTCTTGATCTTAGCAGAAAAGCTTTCAACCTTTTATTATAGAGTGTAGTGTTTGCTGTGGGTTTGCCATGTATGGCATTTATTATGTTAAAGTATGCGTTTTTTTATACCCAATTTTCTGAGTATTTTTATCATAAAATAATGTTAAATTTTCTCAAATGCTTCTTTGTACCAGTTGAAATGACTATATGAATTTTATATTTTGTTTTATTAGTGTGGTATATCATATTTATTGATTTGCATATGTTGAACTATATTTGCGTCCCAGAGATAAATCTAATGTGATCATGCTATATGATCCTTTCAATGTACTGTTGAAGTCAGTTTGCTGGTTTTGTTGATAATTTTTCCATTTATGTTCATCAGGGATATTTAGTCTATAATTCCTTTTTTTCAGTGTCCTTATCTGGCCTGATATCAGGTTGATTCTGGTCTCATAGAAAAAATTTGGTAGTGTGTCTACTCTTCAACTTTTTTTTTTTTGGAAATGTTTGAGAATTGGCATCAATTCTTTGTTTAATGATTAGTAGAATTCACCAGTGAAACCATCTCATCCTGGGCTTTTCTTTATTAGGAAGTTTTTGAATGCTGATTTAATCTTCTTACTCACTGTTCTGTTGAGATTTACTATTTCTTTATGATTCGGTCTATTTTTTTAGGAACTTACCTATTTAATCTACATTATCCAATCTGTTGGGGAAATGTTGGTCAAAGGGCATAAACTTCTAGTTATGAGATGAATAAGTTATGTGTATTTAATATAGAACATGTTGATTAAAGTTAACAATAATGTATTATAATCTTGAAAAATGGTAAGAGAATATATCTTAAATGTTCTCACCATACACACCAAAAATGATAACTATATGAAGTGATGGATGTGTTAACAAACCTTATTTTGGTAGTAAGCATTTTGCAATACTTAATGTATATAAAATCATCACTTTGTACACATTAAACTTAAACTTACTTCAAACTTAGTCTCCTACCCACAAATTATGTATATTAAAAAAATAGGGAATATTTGCTTCCACTTCTCCCAGAAATACTTTGTCTAGTTAATTGATCTGATCCCAAAGGATAATAAAATTTTTCTTATCTCCCCATATGTAAATAATTGACACAAATATTACAAAGGTATCATCCATAGCATAAAGACTGTAAGAATACAAAGTTGATGGATACATATGAGAGAAGTCTAACCATTAAAGTTTAATATAGATGACAATAGAAAAATACTGTTCTTTTTTTACAATTGAAATAAGAGTAGTTGAGAAAAACTGTTGCTAAAACATTAATGATTACAATGAGTTTTGTGTTGAAGAATCTCCTGATATTACAAACAATACCACAGTGACTTAGGATGTGGCTAACTAATAGAAATCAGGGAGTAGAGACACACACACACAATTCTAAAACATTCACTTCACAGCAGAACTTCAAGGAGGGTTACATACCCAAAATTTTTCTTTCTTCCCCTGGGCTCCTCTCAGTGTGCCCCATCTGTAATCATCATCATCATCATCATCATCATCATCATCATCATCATAATCATAAATATTGGTATGATTAAAAATGTTTCACTTGCATCTTAATAAAACAGATAAAGAAGATGTGGTACATATATACAATGAAATATTATTCAACCATAAAAAAAGAATAAAAGATGGCTATTTTTTGAGAACATGGATACATCTAGATAGTTTATGCTAGTGAAATAAGTCATAAAGAGAAAGACAAATGCTTTATGATCTCACAGCAGTCTTAAAGTACTTAAAGATTCCTCTTTTATTTATATCTAGCCCTATGAAACTCTACATATTGTTATAAATTATAAATCACCAAGAATAGTAATAAGAAAAAACAATGTCAATATAGATCATTGTTGTAGATAAGAGAATTTATGTTAAAATATTCATATGTATAAGTTATTTTATAAAGTGGCTATGCATCTAATGTGGATTTTCTTTATACATGTATATATATGGAAATAAAATTCTATATTCCCAGTACTGGCTCATTTTCAGTGTAGCATATAACAGTTCATAAATAACCCAAACCTACAATATCTCATTTTTTTCCTCTTGATTAAACCCACTGAGGCAGATGTTATTGACATGTTCTGTTAACCAGTGAAATAACATAGACTGGGAAATGTTGAGCCAGGACTCCAAATCCCATGCTCTTTTTAATATGAACATTAAAATCCATTGCTTCTCTATTATTCTATTGTTTCTCTTCAAATATAGAGTCCCCAATGACACTGTGTCCTGAACAGCATCACTTTTATGTTGAGAAAGCATATTGACTACCACTTTCATGAGATTTCATGGGTTGTGAGAACATAGTTCTGCCCACATGTTACCCCATCAATCCATCCCTAATATTTCAAATCCCAACATCAGAGCTCACATCAAGTCATGATATGCCACAACATGACAAACATTCCTAGAAGAGACACAAATTTGTTGTTCAAATATTTTTAACATGTCAATTTGCAGAAAGTTATTCTTTAGGGTACAGAATAGAATAATGGTGGATGGCATGGAAGTGTTCCCTAAAGGTGGCAGGTTTATAGTAGAGACCTTGACACATTCAGAAAAACATATTAATGCATTTGGATCCTTTGGCATGACAGTGAGGGGGAAAAGGTAATGTGGGTGTAGGATACACTAAAGAACAATTTTTCTTTCTCTTGCCCCTGATAGAGGCTAGGAGTGGTAATTACACTGGTTGCCATGTCTCTTCTAGTTCTCTGCTGCACACACAGGTAGATGGGAACACTTTAAGGTTTCAAATATCTGGGCAATATAATGGGTAAATTTAAACTGATTCAATTTCCAAACCATTTTTGTAGTTTTGTAATTGCATTTATATCCTTCTAACTTTTTTAAAGAGTCATCACCATTGAAAAAACTTACCAGTCATATATGTACCTCCAAATCTTTAAAAGACATTATATACTTCAAGTAGTAGATCATTTCTGAAAATTCAAGTCATTCATTTCTGCTCCCTCATTATGGCTATTGATATCATTTCAAAAGCCTTTACCACTCAATCAAACTTTCTTTAGGTGATCTAGCTACTAGTTACTTAACATAAAGTATAAGACTAAATTAGAAGAATCTAAGGAAACACTTAACTCCAAAACTATATGGGCAACAGAGGAACACCATATCTGAGATCCTACCAGATTTTGGCAAGAAGTTGTGGGGTAGACTTGCTTGAGGCACCAGGAGCCTCCAGTAAAGAACCTCCAATGAAGAAATAGGTATACAGGCATGGCAAGCTTGACCCAGTAATTAAGCCTTAATCAGAAGAGAGGAGGAGCAATTGAGAGTATCACTTGTTCCTTGTTACTCAGATCTATCCAAACTCAGCTCTCACACTGGACTCAGGAAAGTTTGGAGGTGGGAAAAGCAGAAATCAGACTTGTAATTAGAATCCAAAAGAGCTATTTTATGGAAAACTCTGTATATTCTATTAAAAAAACTTTAATAACACTCAAATAGAAAGCAACACTAAAAGTAGATAGATGTTTCTTTGTAAGATCTTTCAACTTGTTGGTCTCCAAAGCATTCAGGATGGTGGATGGGAAAACAGAGAAAAGTTCAACAGAGAAATGTTTAAAAGACATACAAGGAAAATATACCATGGAATATATATTGCATTCATGAATAAGACCATTTTAGATACCCCTGGAGGCTCTCATAAATATTGAAACAGTGTTTGGGAACTTGAAAATCTAAAATTGTACATAGAGTTAACATTTAGCAAAATAATAACTGCACATCATTCTATTACCAGCAGATTAGAGGCCAACCAATTCTAAGAAAACAGAATATTTCCTCACAAAGGAAAAGACACACTTCAGATTATAGTTGTATAGTTTTTCTTTTTCTAATATCACCAAATAAATTATAAATAAAATAAACTACCTTACTTTGGAAACATCTAAGTAAAAAAAAAAAAACTATCACTTTTGCTTAGGTTGTTCAATTGCCTGTATTTTCATATATTCCTACATATTTTGTTATGATTATCTAAATAATTTTCAATGATATAATGGACAGCAATGATTCTAATCTTGCAAATCTATCAACTCTTTGGAGTGCTATAATTTTTTCTTTCAAGAAGCATTGCTCTTTTATACACCAATAATGAACTCTCCGAAAAAGACACCAAGAAAACCATCTCAGTTACCATTGTAACTTGCAAAAAAATTAGATAACTAAGAATACTTAACTAAGGAGGTAAAAGTCCTGTACTCAGAAAACTATGGACATTGAAGAAAGAAACACAGGAATACACAAACAACTGGAAGCATATACTGTGTTATTGGATTGGAATAATTAACATTAAATTATCCATACTACCCAAAGCAACCTATAGATTCAACAAAATTCCTATTGAAATACCAATGGCGTATTTCACAGATTTAGAATACTTATTCTAAAAATTTATGTGGAACCAAAAAAAAAAACCAAATAGCTCAGCAATCTTGAAAAGGAAGAACAAAGTTGGAAGGATCACAATACTGAATATCAAACTACACTACAAGGCCATTGTAGTCAAAACATGCCTATACATGCCTGGTAGAGGCATAAGAACAGACATATAGATCAATGGAACAGAACAGAGAGCCAGAAGTCAACCCATGCCTTTATGGTCAATTAATATTTGACAGATGATGAAAGAGCATCCAATAGGATAAGGACCATCTCTTCAATAAATGGTGTAGGGAGAACTGGACTGGTACAAGCAAAAAAAAAAAAAAAAGAAGTGAAAGTATACCACCTTCTTACACCACGTACAAGAACAAACTAAAAATTTAATTAAAGACTTAAATGTAATTCACAAAACCATAAAAAATCCTAGAAGAAAATATAGGCAGTAAAATCTCAGACATCTTTGTAGCAATATTTTTGTCAATATATCTCCTAGGGCAAGGCGAACAAAAGAAAATATAAACAATGGGACTACCTTAATCTAAAAAGCTTCTGCACAGCAAAAGAAACCATCAATAGCTCTGGTAGGTGTGGCTCAGTGATTTGAGCACTGGCCTGTGAACCCAAAGGTCGCCAGTTTGATTCCCAGTCAGGGCATATGCCAGGATTGTGGGCCAGGTCCCTAGTTGGGGACACATGAGAGGCAACTACACATTGATGGTTCTTTCCCTCTCTTTCTCCCTCTCTTCTCCTCTCTCTAAATATAAACAAAAATAAAGTCTTTAAAGAAAAAGAAACCATCAAGTAAAAAGGGAACCTACTATATGGGAGAACATATTCACCAATAATACATCTGATAAGGGGTTAATATCCAAAATATATAAAGAATTTATACAATTCAACACCAATTTAAATCCAATTTAAAAATAGGCAGAAGACCAGAGTAAACACTGCTCCAAAGAGAATATGCAAATGAACAATAAACATGAAAAAATGCTTAATGTCACTAATCATCAGAGAAATGCATATTAAAACTGCAATGAGGTTATCATCCCAAATATACAGAATGGCCACCATCGATAGATCAAGAAACAACAGGTGCTGGTGAGAATGTGCAGAAAAGGGAAACTTAGTGCACTGTTGGTGGGAATGCAAACTAGTGTAGCCACTTTGAAAAACTGTATGGAGTTTCCTCAAAATTTTAAAATGGTATTACCATTTGATTAAGTGACCCCACTTCTGGGAATGTATCCTAAGAACCCTGAAACACCAATCAGAAAGAATATATGCAAACCTATGTTCATAGAAGTGTTATTTACAATAGCCAAGATCTGAAAACAGCCCAAGTGCCCATCAATAGATGAGTAGATAAAAAAGATGTGGCACATTTACACAATGGACTACTACACAGCTATATAAAAAAAGGAACACTAACCCTTTGCAACAACATGATGGAACTGGAGGTTATTATGATAAGCAAATGAAGCCCATCAGAGAAAGACAGATACCAGATGATCTTACTTGTATGTAGAATCTAATAAATGAAAGAAACTGACAAACAGAATAGGACCACAGGCAGGAATACTTGGAACAGACGGACAGATCTTGGTGGGGGGTGAGGGCGTGTGGAGGAAACTGGAGAGATTATCCAAAAAACATGCACACATGCACAGCCCATGGACACAGACAACAATGTGGTGAAGGCTGGGGGAAGCTGGGTGAGGGGGGACAAAGGGGGGGAAAATGAGAACTTCTGTAATAGTGTCAACAACAAAATAAGCATTGTTGTTTATTATAACTTTAAAATGCATTATTTAAAATACCAGTTTTTTAACCCAGAAAGAATACCATCATTCACATTATTATAAAACATCTCAAAATGGAGAGAAAAACAAATTGAGTCTTCAAATAAGGTAAAAGAGGAAGAGTAAAGAAAGTCTGCTATGTCTGATAGTTTCAGAGACTAGGATGTTTGTGAAAGAAAATTATAAGCAAAGGATGTTAATTTTTATGCAAAATTCAGATGGAAAGAAAATATCACACCTCACCATGGAG